CCTTTTCTTTCTTTCGTTCTTTCTTTCTTTTGTCCTTTTCTTTCTTTCTTTCTTTCTTTCTTTCTTTCTTACTTTCTTTCTTTCTTTCTTTCTTTCCTTCTTTCTCTATCTTTGTCTCTGTTCCTTTCCCTTTCCCCTTCCATACTTTATTCTCTCTCTCTCTCTCAACTTTCAGTCTCTGTATTCCTGTTGCCTCTACCGTTTCTCTTTTTTGCCCATCTCTCTGCCTCTTTCTTTGTTGTTCTTTAGCTGCTTCTTTTCTCTCCTCTCCTCTCCTCTTCTCTCCTCCTCTCTCTCCCTCTCTCTGTCTCTCTCTCTCATGCATTTTCCATTTTTCTCTCTCTTCACCGTTACCCATCTCTTCACCCACTGCTCCCTCTGCCCCCAGCTCACCTTGGTCGCACTGGTCTGATATTTCTGTTCCAGCTCCGCTACTGACAGCTGGTGGTCATTCTGTGTGGTGGGGGCAGCACATTCACTGTCCAGCTCTCACTGGCCCTCACCCCAGCCCCCTACCCAGCCCTTTAGCCCCATGCTCACAATCTCCATCTCCTTCTTCATGTTCTCCAGCTTCTCCTTTCTCTTGCCCCCTCCACTGCCTGCCTTCTTCTTGCTCAGCTTGGCTGCCATGTCCCCATCAGGGCCAGGACCCAGCTCTACTGAGTACAACTCGTAATTCTCCTGGGGGCAGGGGGAGAGGGGAGGCATCAGATCCCACCAGAACCCCTGCCTCCAACCTCCAACCCTCCAACCCCCAACCCCTGGCCCCAGACCCCACTCACTGCCTTTCCCATGATTTCCAGTGCAGCTGCCCTCCTTTGCCAATACAGAGCCTGGTTCTGGACCAGCCCAGATATACCCAGGGAAGGAGGAGGTGGGGCAGGACTGCCTGATTACAGCTGATTACAGGGCTCCTTGGGGTGACCTCTAGGCCTGGGCAGCTCAGGCATTCCTTACTGGGCTGCCCAACCTTTCCAGACCCCATCACAACCTGCCACTGAGGTCAGGGAATCAATAGGAATATCCATAGTAACAGGAAAATAGCAAACATATATTCCAGGAACTGTACTGAGTGCTTTCATGTGCTAAGTTAACCTCACAACAACCCTTTGAAGTGAGAACTATTTTTACTTTGCCTTATACATGGGGAAACTGAGGCACAAAGGGGTGAAGTCACGTTCTCACGGTTCCCAAGATAGGGTGTGAAAGAGCCAAAACTCAGAATCAAATAGGTTGGTTGCAGAGTGTCCATTTTTAGAACATACTGCTTGTGCCACACCTGGAGGGGGAGGGCGCTCCCAACAGCCACTACACTGGCTGTCCTTTAGGGAGTACTTACTGTGTGTGGGGGGGGGGCTTCCCCCAGGTGCTTTGTGCAAATGTTTCATTAGCTCCTCTTTACAGCCCTATAAAGTTATGTTCCATTGTACAAATGAGGAAACTGAGGCACAGAGAGGTTAAGAACTTTGGCCTAAGGTTGTAACAAGTATCAGGAACAGGATTCCAGCCCCCGTGGGACCCTGGAGCCTGGTTTTCATAAGGGATCAGCAATGGAAAACCCAAAACTTCACAACTGCAGTGCAAGGTATGCCCAGGCACTACACACATGTAACCTCATGGATCCTTGCAATAAAGCCCTGTGAAGATGCCACTATTATTCCCATTGTGCAGAGAGGGAAACTGAGGCTCAGAGAGGTTCAAGGAGGTTTCCTAGGGGTACTCCACACATCCAGCTTTAGCCATCACACCTTTCAATCATTACCTTGTCTCCACCCCAACTTGCCCAGATGGGGAAACCAAGGGTCCTGGATTGATGTTGTACTTGGTGCTTGGTGGTTGGTGCCAGGTTTAGGTCTGGGGACTTCCAATCCCCCAGGCAGGGACCTCTGTGAGCGCCAATGAGAGGCTGGACTGGTTGCCTGGTGGGTCCTTGATATCTCATGCTTGGGCCTCAGGGGTGAACGTTTCTCCAGGGGCAAGTGTAACTTTATCTGATAAGGTAATTGCCTTGGTGATGTCCTTCTCCTCTGGGGCAGGTCACATAAGAAAGTCAAAGCTGTTAAGCAGTCCCAGCTCCTTCCCATACCCGCCCCCACAAGCTGGTGATCCCCAGTCTGCCACAGGAAACCCCAAAAGAGAGGCAGAACACAGTCACATTGACTGCCCCTTACAATGTGTCCACTTGCCCACTGGCATTCATCTCTCCGGGACACACATGTAAAATAGTTTGTGTCATTCCCTTGCTTACAACCCTCGAGGGGCTTTCCTGTTCTCTCAGAATAAACACCACAATCATTCCTATGAGATCTGGCTCCAGCTCACCTCTCCTGGCTCAGTGGTCTCCTTGCTGCACTTATAAGAGACCATGGCCATTCCTGCCCCAGGACCTTTGCACCTGCAGCTTTTTCTGCCTGCTACTCTTCCTTAGATATCTGCATGGCTCTTCCTCACCTGCAGCTCTCAGCTCACATGCCATCTCTTCAGAGAGTCCTTACTTGTATATTGCACTCCCATCAGGCTCCATCCACTCACCCTGCTTAATTCACACCCCTTATCCCAACATGACATTGTATTGTACTTTTATTTGTTTGGTGATGACCTTGTTGTACTAGAAGGAAGACCGGGCCTAGGTTGTGTTTGCTGATATCCACATAATACCGGGAACATTCCCTGGACACACAAATATTTCTGAGCGTTGAGCAGGATCCATCTCACCCCGGGGGTTGGGAATGTTCATAAACAAACCTGGTGTACGGGGAGGGCCCTTCAAATCTTCTCAGGTGCCCCTCCTGTCTCCAGCCCTGCGACCCTGGCCCCCAGCCCACCACCCCCAAAGTGCCCAGAACCTGAGGCAGATATGGGGTTGTGTCTGCGCAGATTAGGGAACCCCATGACCTATGTCACAGATGCAGAGACTGAGGCACTATTAAGAGAAGTGAGCTTGAAACCCCTGCAGGCAGACAGGGCAGGAGTCCAGGGGAAAACAAAGGCAGGTGGAATATATGCAGGGGCAGACATGGCAGTTTGAGCAGCCTAACCACAGGGACCAACCAAGCAGAATCATAAAATGTTTCTGGGCTCAAAGCGGGAGGCATGGGAAACAAGGGAGGGCCTGTAGCAACAAGGTGTACAAACACATAGAAACAGAAAGTTCAGCACAGGAACAGGGAAAGCACACCCAGCAACAGGGAAAGTTCAGGCCTGTTGCTGAGCAAGAACAATTGAGGGAATCAATCAGGTGACGACACAGGTAGATATAGAGCAGGCTTGTGGCAAATATATGCCCCTGGACTACAAGGCTTTAATGGGCAGCCCATTACTGGGTCGCCCTCCCCTCGCGGGGAGTCTGAATCTGCTTATAATAAATTTTCCACACTTTTGCTTAAATCTTCTGATCCGTGGAGCTCATTCTTCGGCGCCATGAGACACGACCCTAGGAAAACACCTGGGCTCACCATTCCGGCCATCACGACCACTGGCAGCACATGGCTGACCTGTGATATTGTGCAAACCTTTGTCAAAACTCAAAGACCACCCTTCTCTGGTCTCTGCCTCATTTGTTTTATTTCTCACTTATTAGTTTTATTATTTTATGTTAATTTCCAATTTTTTATTTCAAACCTATAAGTTACAGGAATATTAACCTTCACCTAAATTTAATGATTTTTACCACATTTGTACTATAAGATAGATAGATAAGTAGATAGATATAGATATAGATATAGATATAGATATAGATATATTTTTAAGTTTTGGTTGAATCATTTGAGAGTAAGTTGGAGACAGGATGCTTATCCAAAAATACTCAGGCATGAATCTCCTGTGAATTAGGACACTCTCTTGCATAACTCTCTTGCAGTTCAATGACTAAATTCAGAAATTAACACTGATGTGACATTATTAACTAATTTAGAGAATTTATTTGAATTTCCCATTTTCCTACTCATGTCCTTTTTTGGGGGCCAGGATCTAATCCAGGACTACACTTCACATTTAGTTGTCACGCCTCTGAGTCTCCTTCAATCTGTGACATTTTCTCAGTCTTTCCTGTCTTTTATGACCTTGACATTTTGAAAGTGTGTCAGTTATTATGTAGAATTCCCTCAGTTGGGTTTTGCGGATGGTTCCTCATGATGAGATTCAGGTTGTGCACTTTTGGTCAGAACATATGGTAACGTGTGCCCTTCACAGAGCATTTTGTCAGGACAAAACTCATTTTTGATTCTGGAAGAAGGTGGACATTTGGGGTTATCAAGAGTCTTTAGGCCGTAACCGGTTTGGCTCAGTGGATAGAGCATCGGCCTGTGGACTGAAGGGTCCCAGGTTCGATTCCGGTCAAGGGCACGTACCGTGGTTGCGGGCACATCCCCAGTAGGAAGTGTGCAGGGGCCGGCTGATCGATGTTTCTCTCTCATCGATGTTTCTGACTCTCTGTCTCTCTCCCTTCCTCTCTGTAAAAAATCAATAAAAATATATTTAAAAAA